AGCAAAAATACCGAATGCCGCGAGAAAAGTTGGAACAATGGAGAGACAAGATTGCGTTTGAGTTTCGGGATAATACTAATTACTGGAAAAAAGAACGCGAGAGTATGAAAGAAGACGATTTCTTAAAATATAAACGGGAATATGAGGCCCGCTTTGGTGTTCCTACCGCTCCATATAAGAACGAGATAAACAAATCTTATTTAATATCCATTGAATATATATAATGGTTCTCAATTCGACTAAAAAGATAAATTAGGCAAATTTTTGTGACTAAAGATTGGATTTAACTAGCAATCGTACGGAGCTCTGCGCGATATCTAAAAATTGATTTATTCCGTCTAAAAACGTTAAAATCGTGCGGATTGCTGTCCCAATTTTTTTTTTTCAAAAAGCGATCAAATCCAGCCAAAATGCTTTTTTTTTTTTTCAAAAAGCGATTAAATCCAGCCAAAACGTTAAAAAACGTGCGGATTGCTGTCCCATCCACATTAAGAATTTTTATTATTATACTATCTATTAAATCTTTTCCCTTTCATAAAATAAAACGGGAAACAGATATATTTATTATAATAGCAATTACAACAATATTGAATAGGCAAATAACAATGCGAACGCAATCATATCGTCCTCGAATGACGATGCACATGCAAACTCATAATCACTTCGTAGCAGCAGACTTTTTCAACTAACACCTCAGCTGACTTCCTCGATGGTTACACAGCAGTACCGCGGCAAATGGCGATGCAATCGCAAACTCGGTCGTCACTCGAATAACGACGCGAAGCAAATGCAAACTCATCGTCACTTCGTAGCGGCTGGCTTTTCCAACCAACACCCTCAGCTGACTTCCTCAATCGTTACACAGCGGTACTGCGGCAAAGACGATGCAAACGCAAAATTATCGCTATTATATGACGACGCAACCGCGAAATCATCACTATCCCTTGACTTAATGTCAAGCCAATCATATTGCTCGCTTGAATTACTGAATTAGTTTTTTCTGTGGTAGCACGCTCAAATGGACAGCTTAAACGCAATTTTGTCGTCACTCAAACAATGGCGCAAATACAAACTTGTCGTCACATAACCAATAACAATATTTTTTTTTCCAGCCATCGCAGACAACTCTGCAAGCTAATTGTGACCCGCAATGACGGCGCAATCGCAAACTTGTCATCACCGAATGACGACACTCATCGTCATAGCAACAGTTAACACGTCAGCTAACATCCACGATGGGTACACACGACACAAACAAAACTCACCATCACTTCGTAGCGGCTGATTTTTCCAGCTAACATCCTCAGCTGACTCCCTCGATAGGTACAAAGGCGAATGACGATGCAAACACGATCTTATCGTCACTCAAATGCAAACACATCGTCACTTCATAACTGTTTACTTCTTCAGCTAACACCTCAGTTGACATCCTCGGCAAATGACGATGCAAACACGATCATGTCATCTCGAATGGCGATGCAAATGCAAACACATCGTCACTTCGTAGCGGCTAACTTTTCCAGCTAACACCCTCAGCTAATTTTCTCGATGGTTACAGAGGCAAATAACAATGCAAGCACAATCATGTCGTCACTCGAATAACAACGCAAATGTAAACTCGTCGTCTTGGGATGATTATAATCCCTTATCGAAAAGTAACCGATTTAGGTACTAATTCCACCAAAAATGACCCATTTCACCATCTTGGGGATGGTTATAGTCCCTTAACGAAAATTAACCGATTTAGATGCTAATTCCAACAAAAATGGCCCATTTTTAACCGATTTAAGCGCTAATTCCCATTGGGATGGTTATAGTCCCGACTAAGTGGGATATTTGTAGTCTATATAGACTACAAATATCCCACT